CCCAGGCCCGTCGTCGCACCCCACCCAGCGGCACCACCGCACGTGAGGCCGTGACCCATTCCATGTTGCAACGCCGCTCGTCCCGCTCGCCGCCGCCGTGATACGGAGTAAACATTGTACCCACGTGGCCCCTTTGTGGTCGCTTTCAACGCCCGGAAAATCGTGTTTGCTGTGTTTTGTTGGGTTGTGTTTTTTCCCCCGTAGATGTTGACCGTGAACCTCTGGACAAACACCGGTGGTGATATATCAGGTTGACACGCACACAGGCACACACGCGCACACACAAAGATCCCCCGTGTAGCCTTAACAAACTGTTTGGGGGCAATTGCTGTTAGCGAGCACCTATGAAGGCTGGCCCAGCACACGAGCGGATGGTTGACCAGCACCACGCCCGACCACCTTTGTCTCCCCAGTGGTGATATTTTTAAACAACCGCACCTGGTACTAATTTAAGGCTGAGTCGACCTAGGGGAGGCCCAGGGACCGGTTCAGATAATCATCACTGGTGTTGGCCGTGATCGGGAAACAAACTCGGATCGCTGGGTCCGTAGCACAGCGTGCTAACTACTACACTACCGCTCCCCAACAACAACCGCCATTCACTACCAAGTCGTGGTGACCACGACGCTTGTGCCAGGCTATGTGCACCTTGAGGCCACGTGAAGTGTCAAACGCCCGCTGGCAGGAGGTCACGGGGCGGACCCAGATGCCACAGGTCGACTGACTGAGACGACTGGCTGATACATCACCTGTGCCCCCTACTGTGCCATTGCTGTGCTTTAGCCACCCGGCGCTCCGCTCGTTGTTGTGAGCGTCGCTCCTCCGCCCTCCATTGTTGTTGGAGGGCAACTGCCTCCAACTGCCCAGTAGCGTCCTTCACGAGCCTCCTCCACAGAGGCCGATCTTGACACCGCTGGTACCAGTCATCGGCAAGTCCTCTCGTCTCAATCGAGAGTCTGAACACAGCGCGGCTTGTCGAGTTGCTGGGCCACACGGCGAGCATCTCCGCTCCCGAGCTTCCACCGCGCGCTGCCGCGGCAGCGGCAGGAGCCGAGGGCTCAACTCGCAGCTCCGTCTCTCACTGTTCAAATACACCTACCGTTAAAATTATAGACTGATCATTTCTTTGTCAGTGGGCAAACGTACAAAATCAGCATGGAATCAATAACTTTTTTCCCTCACTCTACACGGACAAAATGTTGGAACGTAATCAGCTTCGTTGAGTTTGTTGTCCTTCCCCGGCACCTCCGATCAGCGCGGTTGGTCTACGTAAGGTGCGAAATAAGTCCAACGAACATACATACAAGAGGGATACAGATGGGAATGACATGTAGTGAGATGAGAGATACAGACGGCACACAGAGATGTAGTGAGATGAGAGGGATCTAGTTAAGAGAAAGAGAGAGTTGCTAGTGAGATGAGAGATACAGACAGAGATGTAGTGAGATGAGAGATACACACGGCACACAGAGATGTAGTGAGATGAGAGATACAGTCTGGAGCCGCGTGGGCTGCTGATGTCTCCGTGCCCAGCGCTGCCTCCTCTGTGGGGGGGATGCGGTCGCTAGGGCCGCTCCTTGAGATTCGAGCATTTTTTATTCATTTAGTGGGAGCAGCTGTGCAGCCAAAAACAAAGATCCCCCGTCTAGCCGACCCAGGCTGTAGGGGCAAGTGCTGTGAGTGAGCAGCACCTATGAAGGCCGCAGCACGGCACACGAGGGGGTGGGTAGCCAGCACCACGGCCCGGCCGCCTTTGTCTCCCCAGTGGCAATGTTTTTCCATGCCGCACGATGTACTCATTTGAGGCTGAGTCGACCTAGGGGATGCCCAGGGACCGGTTTAGATAACCGTCACCGATGTTGGCCGTGAGCGGGAATCGAACTTGGGTTGCTGGGTTCGTAGCGCGTCGTGCTGACACACACACGCACGTGCGCGCACGCGCAAGCTGGACAAACACAAACAAGCCACGTGTGGTCCATCGGCGATGCATAGCAGAGGGAGGGTGGGGGGGGGGGGTCTCGCGACCCACAGGTCCGTTCAGAATGTTCAGTTGATAACAATAAGAATGTACACCATTGATGAAGACGCACAATAGAATATTCACTGACTGAAAGTGAGAATTTTGCTCGGGGATGTTTGGCAAAAAAAAAAATGTTGAAAAAGAGAGAACTCTTAATTCCGCAGAGACAGCAATTTCATAAACGCGCTTGCTGTACTCCCCCATGCCACGCTACCCGGTGTGTTCACGCAAGATCCATCTCTGGGCATCCCACCAAGCACAGCACTCCGAAGGGTCGCTGTGGGTTACAAGGCGTGCGCTTCCCCCCGAGAGGCTGATTTCTATTCCACGGGGTTGATTGGTGTGGGTGGATGTCAGGCTTGCGACGCAGAGCTGCGAATATTATTTCAAGCGCTTTCCCAGGCCTCGCTCGTGCCTTCCCGAACTGGACGTGACAATGTGGGCACGTACGTTGAACTTCTGAGTGACAGGGTGGTGAGTGGTGAGTGACACTGCAGGTGGTGAGTGGTGAGTGACAGGGTGGTGAGTGGTGAGTGACAGGGTGGTGAGTGGTGAGTGACAGGGTGGTGAGTGGTGAGTGACACTGCAGGTGGTGAGTGGTGAGTGACAGGGTGGTGAGTGGTGAGTGACAGTGCAGATGGTGAGTGGTGAGTGACACTGCAGGTGGTGAGTGGTGAGTGACAGGGTGGTGAGTGGTGAGTGACAGGGTGGTGAGTGGTGAGTGACAGGGTGGTGAGTGGTGAGTGACAGGGTGGTGAGTGGTGTGTGACACTGCAGGTGGTGAGTGGTGAGTGACACGGCAGGTGGTGAGTGGTGAGTGACAGGGTGGTGAGTAGTGAGTGACAGGGTGGTGAGTGGTGAGTGACAGGGTGGTGAGTGGTGAGTGACAGGGTGGTGAGTGGTGTGTGACACTGCAGGTGGTGAGTGGTGAGTGACACGGCAGGTGGTGAGTGGTGAGTGACAGGGTGGTGAGTGGTGAGTGACAGGGTGGTGAGTGGTGAGTGACACTGCAGGTGGTGAGTGGTGAGTGACAGGGTGGTGAGTGGTGAGTGACAGGGTGGTGAGTGGTGAGTGACACTGCAGGTGGTGAGTGGTGAGTGACAGGGTGGTGAGTGGTGAGTGGTGAGTGACAGGGTGGTGAGTGGTGAGTGACAGAGTGGTGAGTGGTGAGTGGTGAGTGACACTGCAGGTGGTGAGTGGTGAGTGACAGGGTGGTGAGTGGTGAGTGGTGAGTGACAGGGTGGTGAGTGGTGAGTGACAGGGTGGTGAGTGGTGAGTGGTGAGTGACACTGCAGGTGGTGAGTGGTGAGTGACAGGGTGGTGAGTGGTGAGTGACAGGGTGGTGAGTGGTGAGTGACAGGGTGGTGAGTGGTGAGTGGTGAGTGACACTGCAGGTGGTGAGTGGTGAGTGACAGTGCAGGTGGTGAGTGGTGAGTGACACTGCAGGTGGTGAGTGGTGAGTGACACTGCAGGTGGTGAGTGGTGAGTGACAGGGTGGTGAGTGGTGAGTGACAGGGTGGTGAGTGGTGAGTGACAGGGTGGTGAGTGGTGAGTGACAGGGTGGTGAGTGGTGAGTGACACTGCAGGTGGTGAGTGGTGAGTGACAGGGTGGTGAGTGGTGAGTGACACTGCAGGTGGTGAGTGACAGGGTGGTGAGTGGTGAGTGACACTGCAGGTGGTGAGTGGTGAGTGACAGGGTGGTGAGTGGTGAGTGACAGGGTGGTGAGTGGTGAGTGACACTACAGGTGGTGAGTGGTGAGTGACACTGCAGGTGGTGAGTGGTGAGTGACACGGCAGGTGGTGAGTGGTGAGTGACAGGGTGGTGAGTGGTGAGTGACAGGGTGGTGAGTGGTGAGTGACACTGCAGGTGGTGAGTGGTGAGTGACAGGGTGGTGAGTGGTGAGTGACAGGGTGGTGAGTGGTGAGTGACACTGCAGGTGGTGAGTGGTGAGTGACAGGGTGGTGAGTGGTGAGTGGTGAGTGACAGGGTGGTGAGTGGTGAGTGGTGAGTGACAGGGTGGTGAGTGGTGAGTGACAGGGTGGTGAGTGGTGAGTGATACTGCAGGTGGTGAGTGGTGAGTGACACTGCAGGTGGTGAGTGGTGAGTTACAGGGTGGTGAGTGGTGAGTGACAGGGTGGTGAGTGGTGAGTGACGCTGCAGGTGGTGAGTGGTGAGTGACACTGCAGGTGGTGAGTGGTGAGTGACAGGGTGGTGAGTGGTGAGTGACAGGGTGGTGAGTGGTGAGTGACAGGGTGGTGAGTGGTGAGTGACAGGGTGGTGAGTGGTGAGTGACACTGCAGGTGGTGAGTGGTGAGTGACAGGGTGGTGAGTGGTGAGTGACACTGCAGGTGGTGAGTGGTGAGTGACAGGATGGTGAGTGGTGAGTGACAGGGTGGTGAGTGGTGAGTGACACTGCAGGTGGTGAGTGGTGAGTGACACTGCAGGTGGTGAGTGGTGAGTGACAGGATGGTGAGTGGTGAGTGACAGCGTGGTGAGTGGTAGTGATCAAGGACCCTTCTCTGAGGGTCACCACCTGCCGACTGTAACTGACCCGCACCGCGTGCGGGTCGTGACCTCTGGGGGGCCCTGCCGGAGAGGCTCTCGCGAGTGGCACCATCCCGTGGCTGCTCGCCCAATCAAGGCACGGACACCTCGGGTCGCGCGTGCACGTGCACGTGTACGCGCGTTAAACCTCTGGCTGTGCGCCTGATGGTGCTGGTTGTAATTACTGGCGAAACGTTGTACTCGATTTGTAAATTTCGTGGATATTACTCTCCACCACACGGCCTGCAGAACTAGTCACAATTCGTGACGAACCTTACTAACGTGACGAACCTTAGTCATCGGCTGTGTCGGGTGGTGGCGGGTTCAACGACACATTCATACCTACGCGATCTAACCCAACAACCTCCATTATGTATGCACGTTGATCTCCTCACGCACCGTCGGTAGCCAACCGCGCCGAGACGGGCTGCTCACCAGTTGAGGGCGACCGAGCGAGGGCGAGCGGACGAGGAGAGCGGGGAGGCTCCCGCGCTGCGGCTCCGGCGGCTCCTGTGGCTCAGTCGCTGCTGAGCCCAGCGCACGACATCGCCCTCAAACCTGGGCAGAGGAGGGCAACGGCAGGGGGGGGGGGCACACAGAGGGGGGGGAGACACGGGGGGTCAGCGTCGACGCAGCGCCGGCAGTTCCTCATCGTCGTCGGCGCCGCCTCGCGCGAGTGGATTTACCCAGCGGTCTGACGTTTCAGGCAACGGTCCTTCTTCAGAACAGGCAGAAATCGTCGTATTGTTTAATCGCCGCGTTAATATTAACATCGAGGAGAGGATGATGATGATGATGGCTGTTATCATGACGTCTCCCGTCTTCCGGCAGCTGACGGCGAGTGCCGGCACGAACGTCTTCCCCTCGTTCTCGTGAAATAACGTGATAGACAAAGACAAAGATCCCCCGCGTAGCCTTTCACAGACTGTTGGGGCAAGTGCTGCGAGCGAGTGGCACCTATGAAGGCCAGCTATCGACCTAGAGTAGGCCCGGGACCGGTTCAGATAATCGTCACCGCGAGAGGGAATTGAACTCGGGCCGCTGGGTTTGTAGCGCGTCACGCTAACCACCGCGCCACCGCTCACGTGAGACACAGCAACGCGATTGGCAAGTGCACACTTCACACTCCACGCTGTCTTCCCGCAGCAGCAGCGAGGGTGCTGGAGGTTGTTGACGCGTCGGTCTGGTCACGGCACGCGGCTCAACCCAGCTGACACGCGGTGGTTATGAAGTCGCAACGCTGTGGCACCGCCTGCTGCTTCTCTCTCGCTCGATAACGATGACGACAATGATGATGATGACGATGATGACGATGATAATGACGATGATAATGATGACGATGGTGACGATGATGATGACGATGATGGTGATGACGACGACGATAATGACAATGATGACGATGATGATGACGATGATGATGACGATGATGACGATGACAATGACGATGATAATGATGACGATGGTGACGATGATGATGACGATGATAATGACGATGATAATGATGACGATGATGGTGATGACGACGACGATGATGACAATGATGACGATGATGATGATGACGACGACGATGATGACAATGATGATGATGATGACGAGCATGTGTGGGCCTCAGCGTCGACAGACGCCACTTTTATAAGACACCGAGGACGTGGCCGTGTGGCTTGTGGGGGGGGGGGGGGTCAGAGGGCAACCGAGTTCAAATCTAGTTTCCAGCCACCCGTGATTAAACCGGCTTCTCAAGCAAATGTAGTTTTTGTTTTATACACGTGACAATTATCACACATTTGACTTGCACGTATGTATGTTGAACTTCTTTCGCACCGTACGCAGCCAACCGTGCTAATCGGAGATGCGGGGGAAAGACAACAAACTACACACATGGTGAGCATTACTCGCTCACAATGTGTGTATCCCAGTGCTCCTGAGCTCGTTGAATTGATTGAACTATCGAGAAAATCGGTTGCAATGTAACTGGATGAAATGATGCGCGTGGCACATCACGTTTTTCTTAAATTTTTAAATAACTAAAATTAAAGGTGCCCCTCGCTGTTCGTCGCAACAAACGCCCGAACGCGACAACATCCGGAGCTCGAAGGTGGAAAGACAAATCGGAACAACGCAGCCACGGAGCCTCCTGGGAAGAGCTTCTCCCCGCAACACACACACCGCCGTTCTCTTTCTCGCCCGGCATTCTCCCACGCAAGCTCGCAGTTTTTTACACGAGTATATTTTATGCAGGCGTGTACAAAAAAAAAACCATGTAAAAAAAACGGTTGCCCACTTTCTTTTCAATATTACCTCCATCCCTCCTCCCTACGCCGGTTTCGCAGGAAATAAACAACTCAATTTCGATTTAAAGCTTTCGTGACTGCAGGGATTCATATTCTTGGTTCTTTCGGTAAAGTCACGTAGAATATAAACAACTCAGTCGGCACATTTGCTCATGGCGCATGACCTCTTGATTTGATTGGATGTCGGGTGGCGGAGGGACAACGGTGAAAAGTCTCGACATCGTACTTGCACGGAGATGTGACCCAAAAGAATCCGACTCTCAATCCAACCGCTGCTCTCCTATCGGACAGAGATGTCACATTCCCCCGTCCTGCCCCACTTGACCATCACAGACGCGTCACGAACTAACGAACGGACCTCACGAACGACGCCCTCGTCTGCTTCCCCACACTCTAATGGCGAGCGTCTCGAGGTGCACGTGCCCGCCACACTCCTCGCCCAAAACACAAACTGCACTGCCGTCGCGAAGCCACAAAAAGCGCCACGGGGCCCAGGCGAGATGCGACGGAGGCTGCCGGCTCCTCCGCCTTGGGCGCCACTTCTTGCGCGAGACTCACATCCCGGAGACTCGCACGGACGCAGAGCGGAGGAGTCGCCGTGGGCACGCCCGGCTCTCGGACGGGCCCCGACAGACGGACGGATGGAGACGGACGGCGGGAACAGGCGAGACGGTTAATCCCGCGGGGAGAAGGTGCAGCAAGAATCCCCAGAAGGTTCGAACTTCGCTGAGCGGAGGACGAGGACATTCCACGCGCGACGTAAGCGGCTCTGTCCACCGGCCGTGTCGTCCGTTCACGTTTCAGCGGTGAGAGAGGGAGAGAGAAGATCCCTCGAACCCCACAAGCCCCTGTTTACGCTTCGACAACAACACCCTGGTGGGAGAATGCTGCCCACCCTCCATCCCCCGCTCTGCTACTGTAAAAAAAATTAGCGGCCACTAGTCGCTAATTAAGCAGAGAAACCTAAGGGTGCTCCAGAAGTCACGCAAACAGACCCGCACCACTTCAGGATTAAGCACGGGAGGAGAGTTAACAAGCAGAAAGTCTACACGATCAATCAATCACACCGAGCTGCTGCTGCTGCTGCACAGAAATTGAAGACGGGGTTGGCACCGCTGCCACCAGCCCCGGCTAACGCCGCCGGCGCTCGTGGTTCATCACCGCAATCAGCTAATGTCGCCTTCTACGCGCTCCACGCCAAATGTACGTTTGCACTTTGGCAGCGGTCCTGCAGGACTGAACGAGCTTACAAAGCTCCCAACCGCTTAACGACTCGTGGGGAAACACAAATCGATCAACGGGCTAGAGGACGGCAAATATTGTTTCAGGGTAATCGCTGTGGCACAACGGTTGACTTCCTGCGCCACAGCGCGTCACCACGTGGATTGTTATCGAGCAAGATCGTGGCAGGGTGGCCGTAGCTTGGGAGGCTTTCATCCAGCAGTGGATTGACCACGGCTGTTGCTGCTGGTGACGATGAAGGACAGACTCCATTCAAATGTGCTTGCCGGTTAGAGGTCACGTGGATTGGTTGTAGGGGAGAAGAGAAAGGAGGTCTGCAAACAGCGGAGCGCTATCGGAGGGTTCACCTCCCGACCTCTTCGCGCGACGATTACTCCCGTGCCGTGGTATGTGCCCTTTTGGCCCGGCACAAGCGTGCGTCCTTCATTCAGCGCAATGTTGGCGTGACTCTGTCTATGTAACAAACGCACGGCGCGCGAGAGATGGCGTGGAGTGACGAGGTCCGGGCATCTTCCACGCTGCCCGTGGCAGCTGCGGTTAAAACTAAACTGAAACTAAACTATTTTTGTAAATTACAGGGTAAGGCTCACTGAGCTACGTAGCTCTTTTTCATATGCGACCTGGCTATCACAAATGATAGCTCAACGGGGTGGCTGATCACGTGGAAATGTGTCGCAGCCAAATACTCTAAATGCACGTGGATTCTAAATGTAGCGGGAAAAACCGGAGGACGCAGAGAAAACCCCATGCAATTATGGGGAGAGAGACACGCAAACTCCAAATATATAGCAGGCATCAGGGTTGGGATCGAACCTACAACCTCCTGCATACCGAGCGAGGTAGTTAACATCTCGCCACCGTGGCGAGCCGATCCATCAGAGTGAAATCAATTCGTCGTGAGCCCTTAAAAGTTATGTGCATCCGCCGAAGCACCACCGTCAGCGAAGGAAAACCCCCGGCAACTGTTACACACGCCGCACGGAGATGAAATCGATGCGCTAAACTATTTTACGTGGGCACAAATATCACGGGGAAGGGGCTTGAACGATGACACGGGCAAGCAGTGGCGCTGAGTGTACCAGGGAAAGACTCGATGGGTCGTTCTTCTCTCCACGGTGCGGCGAAAGCAAACTGATTGTGCTGCGCGTGCCCGAGCACATCTTCAGAGCGGCTGCCACTAATCAGATACAAAGTCACGGACGAGTGCGTATCAAGGCGAAAGACAAGCGATCTATACTGTCAACAGCGTAATGTCCTTGACAAAACACTCTGCTTGATTACACTACTGGCAGGCACCGCAGGTAAATTCAATTCCCCCTTCTCGTTAACCGAGGCCAGGGATTAAGTGGTCGGCGTGATTGCCAGTGGGATCGTTTGGCGCGGAAGCTCGTGGTTTGAATCCCTGCTGCGGTGGAGGAACTTTATTTTTTGGGACAACTTCCAAGAAGCACCAAGACGCTGCCTCGCGGTCCGTGAGCCTCAAAATTGGGAAAGATTCACTGGAAAAATAAAACTTGCGAAGAATTGATGTTTGAGAGAAGGAACGATGGGCGTTCGTAATGTTTACCGCAAGGTGCGTCGGATCTTTTTACCGGCTCAAGTCTGCGCGGACCAAGGTCCACTTTGTCGAGTGAGGGGTGGGAGACGTCCATAAATTGCGACGACTGATGATTCAGCGTCGGTTCGCGGGCGGGCAACGCCGACCATTTACGCGCGTGCACACGCGCGCTCGCTCGCTCGCGCACGCACACCCGAGCGCATCTCGCCAAACTCATTCTCCCAGCGTGGGAAGGCCCACGCGAGGTGATAATGCGACACCTCGCAGACAGGCGGAGGGTGCTTCGCCGCTCGCCGGAGGAGAGCGCCGCTGTGGAACAACGGGCAAGGTCCTCCAACTGACGGAAATGAAATAAAATGAAACGGTCACAGACAGATGATGACCGCTAACCCCCCCCCCCCCGCATGATTTGAGTTGAACCAAAGGTCAAGTTAATCAATGGCTCTGCAGGAGAGTATAGCCAGACC